AGGTCATCTCATCTCATGAGAGAGTCTGCATCAGTCCTGGATCCTGCACAGGCACTGCCTGTAAAAAAAGCTGAAAAGTGGTCCTGAAGCAGCTGTCACTGCCACTGCTCTTTCTTTCAGGTATCAGTGGACTACAGGCATGTTGATCAACAAAGGGAATCTGTTGCATTTTGGGCTTCCCCTGGGATGGTGACTGTAGAGTGGCCATTTTTCCCTTGCATCAGGGATCTAAAGGGGTGGTCACCCAATAGTGTTCTCTCTCTTTGATGACCCCAATCTTGGGGTCCTTGCTCAAGCATTTGAGCTTAAAGACCCCACTCGCCAAAAATTGCCTACAACACTATCCTCAACAATCTCACCTCACATATGTACAACTCTCTGGACTTGGAAGGAGTGAAACGTTCCCCACTGCCAGCATGCCAACCCCCCTCCAGTGCAGTGCCAAAAATGCTATACACACCTTTATTGGTGCATGAATGGGCTGTCTTAAAGCAACATGTGATATACACATTGTAGAGATGTGAATGGGCCCTCAGGTATTCATGGAGAAAGCACATTGTTACTTTCCAGTGAGTTCCCGGCAGTCAGGAACTATGTTTCAGGGCTTGGTGACCAACTTTTATTTAAAACGAAAGTAAAAGGTTTGCCTTCGCATGGGGTTTCCACCATCACTTCACAAGAAAAAAAATAACATAAAGCCTCCTGGCTTCTGTTCGCAGCACCACTGCTCAAGCCTACTCTGGTCCCTCAGACTACCTCTCAGCTTTGGCTGGTCCCTCAACTGTGTACTCTTGTGGCACATGCTCCCTGCTGCACTGGCCCTTGCCCTAACCCAGGTAGGGGACCTCCTGTTTACTGGGTGCAGCCCTGCACTACTGTCCAGTCCTTGACTATAAAGGGTGTGCACACTTGCACACACACAGACTGCTGTTCTCTGGTAAAACCGAGACACAAAGTTAGAGACATCTTCCCCCCAAAGCTCTTTTTAGCCTCTGGACTGCAGAACTCAGTCTGGGACCTTCAAGACAAGAAGAAAACAAAAAAACACAGTTTTCTTTGTTCATAATAGCTATTCTGGAGCCTCTCAAGATGCATCTCAGCATAAAGAAGCTGGAGCCCAGCACTGTCACAGTAAATAGGTTGATGCTGACAGTAAACAAGCAAAGATATGGAAAAAGCAAATCAGAACAAGTGAAAACTAAGTAGTCAAATTCAAGCTACATTTTTAATCAGAAGTCATTCAGCCAGCCAAAGCCCCATTCATTAATCTTTGCTTTTCCTACATCTCACCTTGCAGGAGTTAAAGGGGTACCATCCAAATTTAAATACCACTTAAAGGGGCAGATCCTTTTCACCCTCTAAGAAGGAACTTCTATCTTTGCCTAAAGGAAATTTTTAATCTTTTTGTGCACCAACTAGGGCCCCATCAAGCATGCAGAAGATCAGATACTGCGGTTTAAAGGGACATTGGCCTATTTAATTGAAGAGTTCTTCTTTTCTCAGAATTAAACCCAGTCACCAGCCCCTGAGAGGCCAACGTGAGATAGCCTCTGTATTTGTAGTTTTTTTCTTTGCTTACTAGGGAAGAAATATCTCAGGACTGGGGCTACCGTTTAAATTCTAAATTGCAGGACATCTAGAACTGATTGAGATTGTGCTGTGTTTTTGACCCTTATTTGAAGTTATTAAGAGTGATAACTGTTATATCATGCATATATTTCTTTGTTGCCTTACTGTGCTTACTTTTGACCTTAATACAACCAAAATATCAGTTTACTCTAAACTGTGTGTGAGTCTATTTTATGGTTGCAGCCAGAGGGTTCTTCTGGTCAGAGGTTAAAGGTGGTGTCAGCAGGGGTTTGGGTTTCAGAGAGGGTTAAGGCAAGAGAGGGAACCCAAAAATTACCCAGTGGCCCCTGAGGGAGTAGTGCTACATCCATAACAGGGGAGGGATTATGTATTCTTCAAAGAGAGGTAAGAACATATAATTGATAGGAGTGAAGCACAGGCAGAAAGTCATTAGCTGACAGGATTTCTAAAAGAATCAACAGGTATTTTATGATCTTACGGAACAGATATAACATAATGCAATCATTGGTGGATTTAACAAATCAAAAGGAACCAAAAAAGAGAAGGTTCGAAGTGTAAAGGGTCATAAACTCCATAAAACATTTGTGTGTGTGTATATATATATACAGTGGGGATCGAAAGTTTGGGCACCCCAGCTAAAAATTTGTATTAATGTGCATAAAGAAGCCAAGTAAAGATGGAAAAATCTCCAAAATGCATCAAATTACAGATTAGACATTCTTATAATATGTCAACAAAAGTTAGATTTTATTTCCATCATTTACACTTTCAAAATAACAGAAAACAAAAAAATGGGGTCTGCAAAAGTTTGGGCACCCTGCAGAATTTATAGCATGCACTACCCCCTTTGCAAAGCTGAGACCTGCCAGTGTCATGGATTGTTCTCAATCATCGTCTGGGAAGACCAGGTGATGTCAATCTCAAAGGTTTTAAATGTCCAGACTCATCTGACCTTGCCCCAACAATCAGCACCATGGGTTCTTCTAAGCAGTTGTCTAGAAAACTGAAACTGAAAATAGTTGACGCTCACAAAGCTGGAGAAGGCTATAAGAAGATAGCAAAGCATTTTCAGATGTCAATATCCTCTGTTCGGAATGTAATTAAGAAATGGCAGTCATCAGGAACAGTGGAAGTTAAAGCAAGATCTGGAAGACCAAGAAAAATATCAGACAGAACAGCTCGCAGGATTGTGAGAAAAACAATTCAAAACCCACGTTTGACTGCACGATCCCTCCAGAAAGATCTGGCAGACACTGGAGTTGTGGTACACTATTCCACTATAAAGAGATACTTGTACAAATATGGTCTTCATGGAAGAGTCATCCGAAGAAAACCTCTTCTACGTCCCCACCACAAAAATCATCGTTTGAACTTTGCAAATGAACATATAGACAAGCCTGATGCATTTTGGAAACAAGTTCTGTGGACCGATGAGGTTAAAATTGAACTTTTTGGCCGGAATGAGCAAAGGTACGTTTGGAGAAGAAGGGGCACAGAATTTAATGAAAAGAACCTCTGTCCAACTATTAAGCATGGGGTTGGATCAATCATGCTTTGGGGTTGTGTTGCAGTCAGTGGCACAGGGAACATCTCACGAGTAGAAGGAAAAATGGATTCAATAAAATTTCAGTAAATTTTGGAAGGTAACTTGATGCCATCTGTGAAAAAGCTGAAGTTAAAGAGAGGATGGCTTCTACAAATGGATAATGATCCTAAACACACCTCGAAATCCACGGGGGATTACATCAAGAGGCGTAAACTGAAGGTTTTGCCATGGCCTTCACAATCTCCTGACCTCAACATAATTGAAAATCTATGGATAGACCTTAAAAGAGCAGTGCGTGACAGACAGCCCAGAAATCTCAAAGAACTGGAAGACTTTTGTAAGGAAGAATGGGCAAAGATACCTCAAACAAGAATTGAAAGACTCTTGGCTGGCTACAAAAAGCGTTTACAAGCTGTGATACTGCCAAAGGGGGCAGTACAAGATATTAACTCTGCAGGGTGCCCAAACTTTTGCAGACGCCATTTTTTTTGTTTTCTGTTATTTTGAAAGTGTAAATGATGGAAATAAAATCGAACTTTTGTTGACATATTATAAGAATGTCTAATCTGTAATTTGATGCCTTTTGGAGATTTTTCCATCTTTCCTTGGCTTCTTTATGCACATTAATACAAATGTTTAGTTGGGGTGCCCAAACTTTCGATCCCCACTGTATATATCCTGTTTTTATTATTTAACTTGCACTAATAGAACTAAACGCTATATACGCTGTGCTTCATAAAAGATGCTGCCTTTCTATTGCAAACAGAAACACAAGAGAAAAAGAACGAGTCTGAATTTCTGGCTGCATCACATTCACTGTACAATCTGCTTCATTCTTTTTATAAGCAGTTATATATATATAACACTCCTGAATACAAATTAGAGGCAATGTTTTCAGTTTAGGATGGTAAGTGCTGCAGGCAGCTCATATGTCTCTTCTCTGACATTCTCTCCTTTGCAGATCTTATTCATAACCATTTGTTAATATTGTATGTATTGTCTGAGCACAGTTGCTTACAGAACGGTGGAGGAGGGGAGCAGTGTCATAGCACAATGTCACTCCTGCTTTAATAGAATAAAGTCCTACTCACACATGATTATAATCATTATTATGACTTTTTTTTTTTTTTATGGTTGAACTGGATGGACTTTCGTCTAACTATGTAACTATGATATGAGAGCAGTATATATACTCACATCTCCATTCTACACTAGGGGGGGTCAAAATCATTTGCAGCAAATATCATTGACAATGTCAGCCAGAGTCAGGAGATGACTGTGGACCTCAAAAGCTACGTTTTTATCTATTTTTGGGTATGGCGGAAAAGGGTGAAAACTGGTGTCAATTTTTTAACGTCAACCACTAGGATTACATTTTATTCTATATATACTACCGTATTTTCCAGCGGATAAGACGACTTTTTACCCCTTAAAAATCTTTCTCAAAAGTCGGGGGTCGTCTTATACGCCGGTATACGGCATGCTGACACTTTTTAGAGGGGCGGCGTGGTGCTGCCGCCCCCCCTTCCAACGGAACGGACACTAAGTACAGGGGTGGGCAGGGGCTGCTGTCTCTTACCTGGCTCCGGTCCCGCGACGACCCGGTCCAGGAAGCGCGGCTGCTCCTTCATTCGGTTCGGCCACTGGATGTTTGCGTGGCTGCTTGGCTCCGCCTCCTCACCGGTGATTGGCCGCCAGAACTGTAGCTCAGGAAAGGCACACAGGCGGCCAATCACCGGCGAGGAGGCGGAGCCGAGCGGCCTCGCGAAAATCGAGTGAAGGAGCGGCCGGTAAGTGTGCCGTGCAGAGGTGCTGCTGCAACCACATATGCTGGCTGCAGCAGCACCATACTAGAACAGGTGTAATTGGTGTCAGTGGGAGGAATAGTGCCCCATCATTGGTGTCACTGATACCAATGATGGGGCATTATTCCTCCCACTGACACCAACGATGGGGCACTTTTCCTCCCCCCCCACTGACACCAACGATGGGGCACTTTTCCTCCCCCCCCACTGACACCAATGATGGGGCACTATTCCACCCCCCACTGACACCAATGATGGGATACTATTCCTCCCACTGACACCAATGTTGGGACACTATTCCTCCCACTGACACCAATGATGGGGCACTATTCCTCCCACTGACACCAATGATGGGGCACTATTCCTCCCACTGACACCAATGATGGAGCACTATTCCTCCCACTGACACCAATGATGGGACACTATTCCTCCCACTGACACCAATGTTGGGACACTATTCCTCCCACTGACACCAATGTTGGGACACTATTCCTCCCACTGACACCAATGATGGGGCACAATTCCTCCCACTGACACCAAAGATGGGGCACTATTCTCCCCACTGATACCAATGATGGGGCGCTATTCCTCCCACTTACACCAATGATGGGGCACGATTCCTCCCACTGACACCAAAGACGGGGCACTATTTCCCCCCCACTGATACTAATGATGGGGCACTATTCCTGCCACTGATACCAATGATGGGGCACGATTCCTCCCACTGACACCAATGATGGGGCACGATTCCTCCCACTGACACCAATGATGGGTCCCTATTCCTCCCACTGACACCAATGATGGGGTGCTATTCCTCCCATTGACACCAATGATGGGGCACGATTCGTCGCTCTGACACCAATGATGGGGCACTATTCCTCCCACTAATACCAATGATGGGGCACTATTCCTCCCACTGACACCAATGATGGGGTACTATTCCTCCCACTGACAACAATGATGGGACACTATTCCTCCCACTAATACCAATGATGGGACACTATTCCTCCCACTAACACCAATGATGGGGCACGATTCTTCCCACTGGTGTGCATTGGAAGAGGGGTAGTCTTATACGGCGAGTATAGCCCAAACACTACATTTTAACAGGAAAAGTAGGGGGTCGTCTTATACGCCCAGTCGTCTTATACTCCGGAAAATACGGTATATATTAAGTTTAAACCTTAAAGTATAACTAAAGTCAAAACTTTTTTTTTTTTTTTAGTTTTGGATAGAGTGAAGAGGGATTAGAACTCTTGTTGTTGTCAGCTGTTATTGCTTTTTGTGCCCCTTTTAAGGAGATTCACGCTCTTTATGTGTCCTGTTTACCATTATCATTGAAAGTGAAATTAAAAGAAAATCCCCACTTTTGGGCTGTCCCCAGAAAACTAATAGAGGGGAAATTTTCCAAAGGGGACACTAGTTCTGGTGACCTGGGGGTCCCCAAGGAATTCCCTTAATTTCAGGGATTTCTTCTCACTTCCATTTTTGGCTACAAGGCATTAAGTGAAGGCAAATCTCCCCAATGGGACAAAGATGGCAAAAAATTAACTGACAGGGTTATAACCCTCCCTTAAGCTATGCAAAATGATAGAATGGAGCTTTTGGCTAAGATCAAGTGTATTATTTGTTCTTATCAGGGTCCAGTAGGGGTGCTCCGCTAACATTCTTGCCTTTTGGTGAGGAAGGCTGGCTGTATAGTTTCCCTGCTGGTATGATGGGGGCTCTGAAGGTTAGTACCAGCTGGAAGAGAAACTGGGGCGCTCACAGGCAGTTGAAGCACGGGAGTAATTCCCCTGAGAAAACCAGATGGGCCCAGTTCCTCCTGATTCAAATTGGTCTACCTTATCTGGCCAGGGAGGCAGAGAGTCTGTAGAGCAGTGCCTCCTGGGAGTGGTTGCCCAAGGGGTGCTCTTAGTAACACATGGGGATGAGATCCCATGTGTAAAAAGTGCACATGGTCACTGTTTTAAACACTTTATCTGCACTGCGCCTTTTAGGGCTAGGCCTTTTGGCTAAGTCCAGGGCAATTTTTTTTTAAAGGCCACAGGGCTTAGCCAGTGCACCATTGCATGGCCACTTATTTATTTATTTATTTATTTTTCCTCACTGTTTTTTCAACTGTCACTTATGCAGACCATACATGGGTCGAATTCCAAACAAATTTTCTTTAGAAAATTGGAAATTGTGTGCGTTTTGTAATCCGATGGCACCACCATTGATTTTCGAAATTCGACCAACCATGCTCTGCAGGCTCCTTACAGAAAAAAATAATACATACACATTTTTCGTGCATTTATTATTTTTTTTCAAAAGGTAAACTTATCCTTTAAAGCATAAGTTTACTTTTTGTAACATGTTACATGTTACACCCACATTCAGGGTGTAACATCTAACATGTTACGATCAGACTGCCCCTGCTCCCTGCTTTGACAGCTTGCAGGGGATCTTCTCCCCCTTTGCTAGCTGTCAAATTTTTAAAAAAGTGGCTGTGCGGGGCTCCGCCCACACAGCCATGTCACTCATTCACAGTCATCTGAGAGACTACAAGTCCCAACAGCCTTAGTGGATGTCAACATGTAGTCCTCAATGAACTACCACGGCGCTGTGGAGTGCCGTGGTAGTTCATTCATTCTTTCTGTCAGTATATCTGATTGCTCATGCATCCCATACAGCAAGCAGATATTCTGACAGATCTGCAGGAGATTGTGATAGATATTTTGGGCCTACAATAATTTTTAACGTTATTGTGAACTTCTGATAGGGGTCTCAATTCCTGCAACTTATTTACCATCTGTTGCATCACCTCAACACCCCCTCTTAGAAGGTTTCCTGTAGAGGTTTATGCTGTTTAGGCTGGCCTGGCTGAAGAAGATGTGGAGTCGTCATTTCTAACACCTCCTAGGGAGTATTGTCATAGATCTTCCTCTGGGAACTGGCTTCAAAGGAGGTATGCTTCCCTGGACATTGGCCTATACAGTTGGCCAATATCTTTCACAAATCACAGAGCCCCCCCTTTGAACAGAAATGGCAAAATACTGGAACTTATTTAAGGGTGTGCCTTTACTTGAAATGGATGGGGCATAAAAATATGCCATTGCTCAATTTCTGTCTCTTTGGAAGCCCAGTCATCAGGAAGTCTCCGTAACGTATTATTCTATGTTTCTTTTCTGTAACTTTCTTTCCTGTAGTCATCTCTTTGTATTGGTAACATTCTGTATTTGCATTGTATAATTACTTTTAAAGTTATATTTTGTTATATTTGATTAATAGCAAGCTTCTTTTCTGTGTAAATAAATTAGATCTTTATTTTTTACACAGTTATTATTTGGTATTAACATTATTGGGAATAGCCACATGAGGAATGACTAAATTCATGTACAGACAAAAGTTTGTAATCACTTATTACATTTATAATCTTAGATAGAATCAAGGGAATAAGTGCGGTAGCAAAACCGCCAAAACAAGATCTGCATGGCATCAGAAATCTACTGATTGGTGGTGCAATGCTTTGCAGACACAAAATAATAAATGCACACTTTTGTACCTGCAAAAAAAAAAAAAACACGCATTTATTATTTTTTTTCAAAAGGTGAACTTAGCCTTTAAATACTTCCAAATAAAATGCCCAGCACTGGTCTGGTAAAAGCTAACGAAAGCAAATGACGTGTGTGGATCAGGAATGGAGTCGGGAGCAGTCACTCCTTGGTGATTATGTATTGCAGCCACGCACACAAACAATCATCTGGCAATCTCTAAAACTCAATTTATAATATATTTCTTTTGCTATTGGTGTCATGCCCTCTTCTTGTCTGGAAAGGGAAATTTAATTTACTGTACTTACTTTCTGCTGTCCACAGATGTATTTCAGTTAATACAGACGGATGCTGCTTCTCTGATTCTGAAGTTTCTATGCAAAGCACATTGTATTTTTGATACTTGTGCATGCCGGTAACCCTGTTTCCACAGACATAATCAATTAAAATGGCTAAAGTGATTTTTTTTAAAGGTGTACTTCATTCAGAGCTAGAAATGAAGCCTTGAAATGCATATGGCACACACAGCCTACTGAACATTTTTTTTTTCTCTTCCAGACATGGCTGTATTGCAGAAGGCCACACAGTGTCTGAAACTGCTTGCCTGCTGATAATATGTTGCTTTGGGAATGTCAGTTCCTCATTCGGCAAATCCTCACCTCTGCTTATAGAGGCCATCCTGCTCTCACTGAAAAACAGACGTAACATGCTGGGTTTACATACTGCCTTGTGGTGTGCTGAATAAAAAAATACAGCAGGAATGATTTGTAGCCCATGGGCATGCAAAAAAACATGCATGTGTAAATGAGCAGAAAAGTGAATGCTGTTGTCGATGCGTGATTTTTTGTTGTGTTCCTGGGGCAAAAAAAGCACTTGCTTCGTTTTTTTTTTTTTCTTTTTTGTTGTTGTTCTGGGGCAAAAAAGCACTTGCTTCGTTGTTTCATCAGCACACCTCAAGGCAATGCGTGTGTTCTTGCACTGCACTGAGATGAGAGGTGCGTTTGCTTTGGCTGGTCGGGAGAGGGACATTGAAGATGATAGTGAATGCAGCATTCATACAACACATACTGTTGCACTGCATGTTAACACGCAACAACTCACATGTAGCGTAAATGTAGCCTTGGGTAAGTACTAGAGGTAGCTGGTTTAGGCAGTGGTGTATTTAAGTTTTGTGCTGCCCTAGGCAACAGAAAAATCGTCGCACCCCCATAGAGAGAGCCTGACATTGACCAACAACACCCCTGCCTCCCACCCAAGAGAGCCTTCCACTACAACTGCCCCCCATACACCAGCCACCATCCCCCATGGCGAGAGAGACACTCACCTTAACAGTTCCAGACATCCCTGGGAACAAGAGTGGGGCTGTGCATACACTGTCATGAAACTCACAGCCTCTCTCGGAACCCAGCAGGTCCCCATGCCGCATGTGTCCCTTCTTCCGAGGGGCAGTGCTGCCCCCTCTGAAAAATGCCGCCCTAGGCAAATTCCTTGTTTGACTTGTGGTAAATACACCCCTGGATTTAGGGGCTTTCAGGATGCAAATGCAAATATTAGCTACCCAACCAAAGAAAATATCTAGTCCTGGTTGAATAATTAGCAGTGAAACCGTACATCAAGAGTGTACAATCAATAGTGTAATCAATGTACATTAATAGTGTCCAAAAAAAACCTCCACCAGCTTTATGTTTATATATTATGCCCCCCTGAGTTTCCAGCCACCATCACCTCTGCTGAATGCTGCTCAATGGAGAGGTCAACAGGGGCATGCTTGAAAGTCCTGCCTTCAACTGTGGTCACTGAGCCTACCATTTGTCTGTTCTGCAAACGTAAGCAAAGTGGAGTTGGTGTGGGGTGTGCGGAGGTAGGCAAACAAGGAGTTACAGTTTGGGGTGCACAGGTGAGCGGAGGAGGCCAGTAGAGTTAAGGTGGGTGGGGGGGAGTTTGCAGAGACAAGGATGGGGGAGGTTTGGGTTTGCAGGGAAATTTAGGATGCAAAGATGTACTGATGGGATGGATAAAGATGTATGTCACGTGCAGGGCAGCCTATTCATTTCAATGGACTGCTCTATGTGCTAGAAATGCGGAAAAAAGTCTCTGACCCTTTTTCA